TTTACAGAGGAGACGGCATTTGAGTAAAGGCTTGCAAGATCAGTATTTTAGCGGATAGAAGAGGAGAGGGCCTGGGAGAGCCATCTAGCCAAGGCTCAGAGGTATGAATATACATGGCGTGTGGGGAAATGCAGTGGGAGATGAGGCTGGAAAAATAAGCTATGTGAAATATAGACAGGGCGCAGCCTAGGATGACACATGAGAGGTGACTGGGGCACAGAATTTAAGGAAGCATTCACTCTCAGGGTCTGATAAGTGCAGGGTTGGCACAGTGGCTGTGGTCATTAAGTAGAGGATTGATTTCAAAATCTCCTATATGAGGGACTTCTGCTTCTGGGAAGATAGAATAGATGTACTTTTCCATATGCTTCGTACCAACTGCAACTTAAAACCCTGGCCATTATATATAAAACAAACATAAGACTCTGACAGATGGAGAGAAGAAACAGACTAACTAGGAAACTTGAGATCCAAGGAACAACATGGTGGTGAGTTCCCTGGGTTTTGTTTTTGCTTCACATTTCCAGACTTGGAGCTGAAGAAGCTGGCAACCTGGAAACACTAACGAGTACAGACAAAAAGCCCCAATAGGCCAGCCCTGTGGTGTAGTGATTAAGTTCAGCACTCTCTGCTTCGGCAGCCTGGGTTTGCAGGTTTGGGTACTGGGTGCACACTTACACCACTCATCAGCCATGCTGTGGCTGTGACCCACATACAAAATAAAGGAATATTGGCACAGATTTTAGTTCAGGGCTAATCTTCCTCAAGCAAAAAAAAAAAAAAAAAAAAACCCAACAAAAGCCTGCTGTCTTTAGCCAAAGGACTGGGAAACGGGCAGCCAGCAAGACAGAATTAACCATTATATTCCAGTCAAACACTACAAAAAAAAACTGTGGTCCCACCCCTAGCACTCCCAGCAAGGACTAAGTGGAGAGCCTAGACTTCCACTCTCACCAGGCTGTAAAGAGGTGTCCTAAACATCCCATCTCTCCAGAGTAGTGTCAGAGAAGGCTGAGTAGAGAGCTGTGACTTTTGTCCCTGGCTGGTGACACCCCCATCCAACCCCTGTGCTGTCAGCGGAGACCTTGGGAAGTCTGACCCGGTGATAATGAGGCACCATCCTACCTAATTGCTGGGCTGGTGGTATCAGAGGAGGCCCAGTGGAATTTCAGGAATTTCACCATCTCCCAGTGGTAACAAGGCCACCCCCACTGCAGTGTCGGTGGAAACCAATGCATGAGGGAATTTTTCTGCAATCTTTACCATAAGAGCTCCTAGAGGTAAAAGTCATTAAAGTGTGCCCTTCTCCCCTAAGAAAAATCTAGGCCCCTAGGAGTTTCTTTTTTTTTAACTCTTAAACTAGTCCTCATTCAGCCTCCAGCAATTCATCAGTTACCATTTAAGTGTTCCTATCAGTTGCTGGCTCCAGCAGTGGCTTCTGCTCCTGAAAAGCTGTGACTCTCTGTATTTACCTGTCTCTTGATTTTCTGGGGTGGCTATTTGCCCTGTGACTTCAATTCTCTGATTGACCTAAGAAGACTTGTTGATTTTCAGTTTGTTCAGCTTTTTTCTTGTTTCGAGGATTACAAATCCCAAGCTCTTTATGTATTGGAGTGGAAACTGGAAGTTTTGTGTTCATTTTTATTCATTCTTTTTTCTTTCTGTTCCTCAGACTGGATAATCTCAATTGACTTATCTTCAAGTTCACTGATTCTTTCTTCTGCCTTCTCAAATCTGATGTTAAGCCCCTCTAGTGAATTTTTTTTCAGTTATTGTACTTTCCAATGCCAGAATTTCTATTTGGTTCTTTTTGAAAGATAATTTCTATCTCTTATTGATATTCCTTATTGGAGACATTATTCTCATACTTTCCTTTAGTTTTTTAGACATGATTTCCTTTGAACATATTTAAAATGGCTGATTTAAAGTCCTTGTCTAGTAGGGCCAATGTCTGGGCTTCTTCAGAGGAAATTTTTATTGATTGCTTCCTTCTCTTCCTTTTTAATGGGCCATACTTTCTTTTGTTTTGGTTTTTTTGTTTTTTTTCGTGAGGAAGATCAGCCCTGAGCTAACATCCATGCCAATCCTCCTCTTTTTGCTGAGGAAGACCGGCCCTGAGCTAACATCTATTGCCTATCCTCCTCCTTTTTTTCCCTTTTTCTCCCCAAGGCCCCAGTAGATAGTTGTATGTCATAGTTGCACATCCTTCTAGTTGCTGTATGTGGGATGCCACCTCAGCATGGCTGGACAAGCAGTGCGTCGGTGCATGCCTGGGATCTGAACCCGGGCTGCCAGTAGTGGAGCGCGAGCACTTAACCGCTAAGCCATGGGGCCGGCCTCATGGGCCATACTTTCTTGTTTCTTTGCATGTCTTATAGTCTTTTGTTGAAAACTGGATATTTAAAATAATATAAGATGGCAACTCTGGAAATCAGATTTTCCCAGCTTTCCAAGGTTTATTGTTGTTGCTGCTTGTTATAGTTGTTGTTTGTTTAGTGACTTTTCTCAACTAATTCTGTAAAGTCTGTATTCTTTGTTGTGTGTGGACACTGGAGTACTATTGATTAGCTTACTGGTCAGTTAGGGATTAGACAAAGATTACCTTAAATGCCTGGAACTAATAAACCTCCCAGTCTTTCACAGGTGCATGTTGGGGCATGCCTTCAACAATCAGCCAGGCAGTTAAAAGCTCTGGCTTAGACTTTACTTGCTGCTTGGGAAGGGCCTCAAGGTCAGCCAGAGGTGAATGCTTAGGGCCATATCATGTCTTTCTTGAGCATGCTCACAGCCCTAGGTATGTATATAGCCCTGCACTTGCATGGCCTTCTAGACTTCCAGGAATATGTCAGAGCTTTTTAAAACCCCTTTGGACATCTAATTTACCAGCTTTTCCTTTAAGCTTTTTGGCTAGTCTCTCATTTGCCCCAAATGTTATCCACCATCTCAGGCAGCCAAGAAGTTAAAACCATTGCCTGTAATTGTTTTTGCCAAATTTCCCTGAGGAGAAGACTTTTTGCACTGAGTGGACTCCAAGTTAGGTCAAATACAGATAGCTTTGCAAGTGAGCTCTTCGAGGTAACAAGCAGATAGGTCAAATAATGACAATTCTTTGGGAATGAGGCTTTGAAAGAGCCCTATCTCTATTCTGTTCCCTCTGGCGGCTGAATTGGAATCTGGGCTGTTATTTTCAAGGAAAGCAAATAATGGAACAATGCCACAAAGCTTGCTGTTCATACTGAGATTCAGTTCTTCTTCTTGAATAAATGTTTCCTGAGCTGCTGCAAGCTTCTGGTTAATTTCCAGAGTCTGAAAAGGTTTTATGACAAATTTTTGCCACATTTTTCATTGCTGTTATAGAGGAGAGAATTTTCAGAGGTTTTGTGCCATCATTTTTGTCAATATCTCCCCTGCTGTTCATGACCTCTGGGTCATGGCCAGGGTTTGGCCAGAGCAGCAAAGAATAACCATTTGTAGTTAAAATAATTCCATCACTTAATTGAAACAGCTTTGCTGAGTGTGAGTACCTTGAAATCATAGAAACCTGATTTAGAATAGATATCCTATTCAAATTACTTTTTGAAATCTTTTTATCTTAACCATAAAGTATGATAATATTCTGAAGTCAGTGAATTTATGTCTGAATCCTGTTAAATGGCTACAATTATATATTATTTCATTGTTTCTAAAACATAAAGTCTAACCAGTCTTCTATAATTGAACTTTTAGATATATGAGTATTTTTAGATATTAGCCTCCCACATAATTATCCTTTTATTTTATTGAAATCCCAAATTTGCTTTTGATTAACAATCAAACCTTAAAAGATTCTCTGAAGGAAACAAAACCTGAAAAGGAGAAACAGATAAAATGATTTAAAATAATATTTGGGCATTCATATTTCCATTGATGCTAAAATATATCTGAACATGGAATGGAATTTAGAACTCCATGAAAGAGAGTTGGTGTCCAAAGAGGTGATGTCACACAGCCTATCGCGTAATAGGCACAGAAGTCGGAGCTTGACAGTGGCTGCCCATTCTGCCAGCTCTCGTGGAGACTGCACTTCTAAAAGCAAGCTCTTCAAACTTATATTTTAATTACCCCTAACAGGCATAATTAGAATTTTCTTTCTCAAATTAAAGGTTTGAGAAATTCCTGTTAAGATGTACTCTTCTGTAAGGTTTATTTTAATTGTAATTTTTTTGTACTGTCAGCATTCAACCAGCTGTGAAGACTTAGATGATGGTAAGTATGCTTTGGCATTTGGATTGTTTCTTCTTCTCTCCTGGCTCACTTTTCCCCAGTTTCAGGGAGTTAGATTAAACAAATTGCTTATTCCAGACAAATTGGATTTCCTGGGAGGATTTATGAGGAAAAATGGCAATTGTCAGTGGGAGAATTAAAAACTTTTCTTCCTGAAACATATATCACTTACAAAATAGATTTGTATATTCTCAGTATTGTGAAACATAACATTTTTAAAAAGTCATTCTCTTAATCATTCCCATAGGAGATTTTTAGCCTGATGTACAGTGAGGGGTTAATTCTAACACTGAAAGTGAACATATTTCAGGAGGGCTATGTGTTTGGTAGTAAAACCTTTTGCTCAAGTGTGGGCCTGCTTGTTATTTATGGTTTCACATTACTGCATATGAAAGGGAGAAAAAGATTCTTCCCACTTTCTTTCCTTCCTTCTCTCTAGATTTTGCATTTCAGTCCCGTCTCATTCATAAATAAATCCTTTTCTCCATCTCTGGGCCAGCTTAGGATCCTAGGCCTCCCTGGGAAGACTCATTTGTGTTTTATATGCATAAAAATCTGTGGTTTGGGGTTCATTCCTCCTCCGCTAGAGGAAACATATTGAGGATGCTAAGACTCATTTGTGTTTTATATGCATAAAAATCTGTGGTTTGGGGTTCATTCTTCCTCTGCTAGAGGAAACATATTGAGGTTGCTAAGTGACTGTGTGGGGAGGGAAGCTACGTTCACTGCTTGCCTGCACTTCTCTGCCTAGATAAAGCTAAGTCTTCTCAAGTGAACACTATAATTATGTTCTGCATTGGTGGCGGTATCCTGGTGGCCATGCTTGTGCTGATGGGTGTTGTCATCTGTCTTTACTTCAAAGTAGCCAATGCATTGAAGTGAGTGATGTGGGTAAGACTGAGTAACACCCTCCCCACCCCCCTAAAATGGGATTCCTGGGGCTCTCTGCTTGAGCAGGGTCATTCCTTGGCCTGTGGCCACACCCTGAGTGAGGTCAGGAACAGCAGGCGGGTTTGAAAAGGCAAAGGCAGGTGAGTGTAGAATCTTGGCTTCTTCCCCTTCTGGCCTGGGGCTGTGAGCTCATAAGTAGAATGTTCTCAGCTGGCAGCAGTGTGTCAGCACTGCTTTGCTGTCACTTGACTTGGTTGAGTTTACCCTCAGCTGGTTACATCAGGATACTGGCTGGGCCCTCTCTCTGTCCCAGGCACTGCAGACTGAAGACTGCGGGGGAGGCTGTGTATGAGGCTCTGCCTTGTGTTCACTCACAGGACGGGCTGAACTGATCTCTTCTTGCCTGAGTTGGGGAGCTCTCAGGGTGCTCTCTCATTCATTGCCATGGCCTTGGGGACAGTGAGGTGGGCCTATAGGACTATGTGGAAGTCGAGCTGTGTGAAGATCCTGGGGGACACTTCACAAGGGAGTATAGATCAAATAAGAGATAATTAAATTTGGGGGAGAGGAACCTTCAAATATGGGAGAGATTAGTTGTCAGAAGCAGTGATGTTCCCATTCTGGGGAAGTTAAGCCTGTGAGCTAGAAGGTAAATCTCAGGATCTGGGGGACAGCCGACTGTGGCACCTTCTCTGTCATGCTCTGCACTTGGCGAGCCTGCCGCCATCAGCTGGGTGATCACCCTTGCAATTCCCTCTCCCTCATTTGCTGTAACCTGCTTTTATGTTGCTAGCAATGTTAGGAGAGGAAGGGATTGGATAGGATTTAGGACAGGGGCAGAGAGCTTTAATTTCAGGCTGGTGTTATGTGTTTGATTAGCTCCAGCCCTAAACTTCCCAGATACCCCTGACAATTGTAACAAATGGACTGAGAAGAAAAATTCTAATCCCATGCTTGTGTGTGTATGTCTTTTCTCAAGAGCCCCAAAGGTACCTGCTTGTTTGGCCTTAAAAAATAATCCAGCCATGCTCACCCAGGACAAGCTCGCTACAGCCACTGCCATCGCCACTGGGTCTTGTCCCTACCTCCAATGCTGTGACGAATGTAGCTTGTACGCCAACTTTGATTCCCTGCCACCGTGCTGCTGTGACGTAAATGAGGGACTCTGACTTGGGTGGGCACAAATATCTTCATGAGCAATATTTCTTTCTTAGTACAATGTTTTATTATTCAAGTTTTATAGTGTTTACATTATATTATGTACTATAGAACATATTTATGTACCTTTGAATAAAAACAATATTAAAAATAATTTTCTCTGCCTCCAGTATTTTATTGTTGTTAGTTATAAATGTACTTAAATTTGTGTATTACCCACACTGGGACATGGGGCAACTAGCTTATAATATTATATTGCAATATAAGGAGAGTTAGAGTAGAAAATAAAGCATCCAGCATATCCCCAACCCCAAGAAGAAAAATATATGTTGATCTTAGAGTGTTTCCAGTTTCAGACTCAGCTAAACTTCCCAAGATGGAGTAGTTCATTTGGCTCTTCTCCTTCTGAGGGCTTCATCCACTCTCATCCAGCTACTCTTCTGCAGACAGTTATGTTACAGTGCCATGACAGAGAACACTGGTGAATGGCACCCCGGACATAGTGAGAACAGCCAGGTAGGACATCTCTGGGTTTAGGTTACCTGATATGTGTATCAATGGGATTGAGCTCAATTGTATTAAAAGGACATTTAGAAAACCTGAGATTCCTCCTTCTTGGTCACTTTAACACTGATTTTTGCTGACTCAGCTGTCAATGTCTTTAACTGCTATAGGAACCTCCAGCTGAATGCCAAAGCCCAGATTCTCCTGACCTCAGCAATAGGCAGTGGGATGCCCTCGCCACTTATGCTCATCAGCTGCCTTCTTTTCCTGCTCTTTCCCAAGAGCCTTCTGGACCCTTCTACTCACAGACTCCCCATCTGTAACCACAATTTGTACCTTTTCTCATTAACAAAACCCTTGCTTTGTGAGCATCACATGTTGTACTTAGTGTAAAGAATTAACTAGTAACAGGTGGTTACCTATTAAAAGGGCTGAAAAAGGACAACAGGAATAGAGGAAAACAGCTACTACCTCTAGGCAGGGAGTGAACGGTGATAGAACTAGGCATTCAGAAGAGGCCACCTCCTAGCTGAGTGTCAGCAGACTTCAACCCTCTCAGCAGAGGGTTGACTGATAAAGGATTATTCAGCACTTCAGTGGTGGCAAAATTTGCCAGAAGGTGTGGGAGCTGGAGCTGCTCTCACAGAGCAGCCCTTGGAATGGCTGAGAAAATCCCTGGAGGCCAAGCGCTCCCAGCCCCAGTACAGTTTTAGGAGGCAAATTCAAGGCTGCCTCTTCCCTAGAGTCTGCTCTGAGACATTCCAGCTGGAAGTGACCTATCCTTTTTGAGTTCCTGGAGCACTTGCTCCCTCTCCTGGCGTCTACTGCTCTGGCCTCGTTTTAGGTGTTCATGTATGCTTTGATTTTCTCTTGCCACCAGTAAGCTCCGTGTCAGAGCACATCCAATCCCCTCTGAACCCCACCCAGTGGGCGGCATAGTGCTCAACAACCGGAGACTGTTCCATACGTGGGTATAGGGGCACTAGCCGGCGGTGCCCCTTTAAATCATGTGTCCTTGAGGCTTCTTGTCTGGGCTACACGCCAGCACTCATGATGATAACAGTCCTGGGCTTGGCTAAGCCAGCTGTTTTCTTGTGGGAGAGTTAGCACAGAGACCCTCATGATCTGAGAGAACATGGAGGCCCTCTGGGGGGTGCCTCTGGTCTTTGGAATGCAGGTCATACAGGGACAGTCCCCCTTGGCGAGCATGCAGGCTTTGTTCCTCTGCCTACTTAAGCAAGCTTCTCTCAGGGGGTGGTAGTGGGTGCACATTGCCTGTCCAGCCAGCCGCCAGTGGACCTTCTCTGTAAGTAACTCCCCAGTAAACCCCTATGCCTCGTTTGCTGTCTCCGGGTCTTTTTTTCAGTCTCTCAGCAACCTATCCCGCACTGCTCACCCAGCTGGGCGTGTGGTGCCACAGTGGGGAATGCACCTGACATCCAGGCATCACAGGGTCCGTGAGGGAGGCAGGATGGGGCAAGAGCTCTTTAGGACACCCTTCTGGTAGGCAGTAGACAGAGTGTAACACGTGGGCTTTAGAGCCAGATAGACTTGGTTCAAATCCAACTCTGCCTTTCACTAGCTATGTGCTAGCTTGCATAGGTGACAGCGAGGATTAAGTAAGATCAAGTATGCCACCCCCACAGGCCCTGGCACCCTGTGATCTCTTGGTAAATTGCCAGTGACCTGAACCACATTTCTTTGCTGACTGCTAACCTAGGGTTCCCTCCCCACTGCTCATCCTCCTCCCAGAGGAGTGACCATGAAGCTCTCACAGTCAGTGGTGATGGTTCAGGGAGTTGGGAGATCATGTCCATAAGGAGAGAGGGAGAGGGGTGCAGTAAGAGACCCCAAGGGGTGGGAGAGGAGTGGGGAATCTGTGGATACAGCTGAGGATGAGTGGCCCTTAGTAATCAGAAGGGTCCCCACCACATATGCGTGCCCCTTGCTCACTCTCACACTAGGACATCCAGTCCCCACCTGGTACGTTGTGAGCTCCAGAAGTCTCCAAGCTTACAGGAACTGTGTGAAGCTACGCCAGGTACCTTGGTGAGTGTCCAAGCTCCTCATGAGCACAACTTCCCTGTGTCACAGGTGCTGGCCTTGCCTCTGCAGCACTGGTGTGAGGCCAAATACCTGGTCCAGGGACATAACTAGGAATGTATCCCCCTGAGTCACAGTCTAGTACTGTGACCGCCCCAGGAACCCCAATGTCCCAGAACCAAGTAAGGTTTTCTGGACTGCAGGATAGTCAGAATAACATAAAAGGGTTGAGGGCAACCAGGAAGGCTTTCAGTCTAGAAGATCCAGTCTATATCTACCTTTACCTCTACAGAGCTCCTGGGAAGATTCTTTAAAAATTAGTCATCATTTTTCTGTTCAAAAAGTTCCAGTTGAACTTAGAATAAAATCCAAACTCCTCACCTGGCCTGCGGGCCTTCACTGTTTGACCATTACCTGCCCCTCCTTTCCATCCTCACCTCCTACCTCCCTCCCCTTCACTCACATCCGCCACACTGGCCTGCCTTCCCTTATTTTGCAGACGTGCCCAGCTGGTTCCTGCCTCAGGGCCTTTGCACTTGACCATTCTTTTGCCTACAATGCATCCTCCAAGCCCAGATCACACACGAATGCCTCTCTGTGTTTGCTCAAATTTCATCTTCCCAAGATGCCTTTCTTTACACGCTAATAGTGCATTCCCTCCCAAGTAGTCAGTCTCTATCCCATCGCCTTGTTTTATTATGTTTATAGCATCTCTCACTATTTGTAATTTATTTTTGCTTGTTTGTTGTCTGTTTCTCCCACTTAGATAATAAGCTCTGCAAGGGCAAGGACTGGGTTCTCATGTTCAATTCTGTATCTCCAGGCCCTAGAACAGGAGCTAATGAATATTTGTGGAATGAATGAATGAGTGAAAAGAGGGCAGCTCCTCATGAGCACAACTTCCTGGTGTCACAGGTGCTGGCCTTGCCTCTGCAGCACAGGTCTCACCTTGGACACCGGGCCTCCTTTCTGTCATCTGTAAAATGTAGTGCCTAAGGGAGTTTAATTCACCTGCTTCAGGCTCTCTGGACATAATGGTTTGAAATTCTTGGCAACTGAACCTGGACCTCCACTTTCTCTTTCCTCCCCACCCTGTACCGCTCCACCTGCCTCAGTGTCAGCATCCTGGCAGGCGTCAGACCCAGGGTTTGCCCAGGTGCCCTCTACCCCTGAGCTGATCCTTTGGACCCCTAAAGGCTTTAATTTTTGGAAAAGATCAGTGAAGCTTAAGATGTCAGTGGTGTTAGCCGCTTCATGATCTGAACAAATGAACAGGGCAAAGGCTCAACTCCAAGTCAGTGCCACGAGGAATTACTCAGTGCCTACTACTGTGTGCCAGGTGTTGGAGATCCCCCGTGACAAGCTTTAGCTGGGTACTCTCTGCAAACCTTCCAGGAATCAGTTGAGGAGAGCAAACACTGTTGGGAATTGCTGATGATAAACCAGTCACACAGCTGCTACATTCTCACATAAATCTACTGCTTGCATGGTCCAACTGACACTTTTCCCTGGAGGTCGCCAGGAAGCTTATGAAACCAGATAGTTATGAAACACAGAGAAGTATAAAGCCTGCTAGCCGTTTAGGCTGACCCGCCCCTCACAAAGATGGAGGCTGTGCGAAGGCTCATCCCTTTGGCCCTTCTCATTGTGCCGTTTCTGGCCGAGTTGAATTCGACTGAGCCTGAAGGTAAGAAAATTGAACCAGGTTTTACAATCAAAATAGAGGAGACCTCCTTTCAAGAGGACTCTGCCAAAGGTTTTTAAAGTTTTAATATTTGCCATTGGCCATAAGACAGAAAATATTTACTCATATGTTCTTGATGGGATTTTGAATCAGTACTAAGTTTCTTCAGGCCCATAGGACAATGTACACAAAACATAAAAGCACAAAGAATTTTACCACGTAATTTCACTACTAAGAATTAACATTTAGGAAATGATCATAAAAGTACACAAAGGTGTATGTACTATGCATTTACACAATTATAAAAGGCAAAGTAGGGGGCCGGCCCAGTGGCGCAAGCGGTTAAGTGCGTGCACTCTGCTGCGGCGGCCTGGGGTTCGCCGGTTTGGATCCTGGGCGTGCACCGATGCACCGTTTGTCAAGCCATGCTGTGGCGGCGTCCCATATAAAATAGAGGAAGATGGGCACAGATGTTAGCTCAAGGCCAGTCTTCCTCAGCAAAAAGAAGAGGATTGTCAGATGTTAGCTCAGGGCTGATCTTCCTCACACAAAGAAAAGCAAAGTAAATTTCCATCATTTCCTGTAAGTTATAGTAAATCCATACAAAGGAGTACTCTTCGGCAACTTAAAAATAAGACTGATCTATAAGAAAGGCACCCAGGATCTATTTTAAGAGAAAAAACACTACCTGAAATTTGTACAATATGATGGTGTTTATGTTTAAAACATATACATTTGAGCACTTGAAAAATCTGTAAGTAGAAGAGGAAAGGAAAGGGTCTGGAAGTGTTTACAAGAAGTGTTTAATGATGATTGTTTCTGGGTGGATGGGATTATAATTTTCCTTAATTGTCTTTGCTTTCTGATTTTTTTTTACTAATAAACATAATAGTTATTGTTAGGGAAAAATAAATAAAAGACTATTGTTATAAGGACACCACTCATCAGTCACGGATAAAAAAGAAAATGAAAAGCTCTGTTTCTAGGTGGAGTTTTTAACCACGAGTCGGGTTCCATTATGAATTATTTGATTTCTTTGTTCACATTCAATCCGAGTCTCTGCTGCTGCTGCACCTCCTCTTCCTCCTCCTCTTCTTTAGTAAGAGCTTTATTGAGACATAATTCACATACCATAAAATCCACCCTTCTAAAATGTACAATTTAGTGGTTTTTAGTGTATACACAGCAGTGTGCAACCATCACCACTATCTAATTTGAGAATATTTTCATCACCCTAAAAAGAAACTCTGTACCCATTAGCAGTTACTATCCATTTCCTTCAATGCCCCTAGCTCAAGGCAACCACTAATCTACTTTCTGTCTCTATAGATTTACCTATTCTGGACATTTCATATAAATGAAATCATACCATATGTGGTCTTTCACTCAGCATAATGTTTCCAAGGTTCATCTATGCTGTACCATGTATTGTACGTCATTCCTTTTTGTTGCTGAATAATATTCCATTATATGGATATACCGTATTTTATTTATTTATTCATCAGTTGATAGACATTTGGGTTGTTTCCACCTTTTGGTTAACTAGCGCTGCTATGGACGTTAGTGTACAAGTTTTTGTGTGGAGATATGTTTTCATTTCTTTTGGGGATATGCCTAGAAGAGGAATTTCTGGGTTATGGTAACTCTATGTTTAATCTTTTGAGGAATTGCCAGACTGTTTTCCCAGAAGCTGTCCCATTTTACATTCCCATGAGCAGTGTAGGAGGGTTCCAATTTCTCCACATCCTTGATAATGCTTGTTATTTTCTGTTTTTGATTCTAGTTTTTGTTCCACATCCTAATTGGTGTGAAGTGGTATCTCATTGTGGTTTTGATTTGCATTCCCCTGATGACTAATGATGTTGAGTATCTCTTCATGTGTTTATTAGCCATTTATGTCTTCTTTGGAGAAATGTCTATTTTGGTCCTTTGTCCATTTTTAATTGGGTTATTTGTCTTTTAATTATTGAGTCATAAGAGTTCTTTATATATTCTAGATATAAAGCTTCTTTTTAGTTTTTATTTTTTTATTTTTATTTTTTTTATAATTTTTATTTATTTATTTATTTTTCCCCCAAAGCCCCAGTAGATAGTTGCATGTCATAGCTGCATATCCCTCCAGCCGCTGTACGTGGGACGCCGCCTCAGCATGGCCGGAGACGCGGTGCATCAGTGTGCGCCTGAGATCCGAGCCCGGGCCGCCAGCAGCAGAGCGCGCACTTAACCACTAAGCCACGGGGCCGGCCCCTAAAGCCTCTTTTTAAAACCATCTTTCTTCAGGCCTGAATATGTTGTTTACTCTTTTATGTACCATATGTAGAGAAATCGTAAATTGTACTTTCTCCCCAAGGGCTCTAAGAAGGAGAAATCAATTGCTGGTGGCTTACTTTGGAGTGAGCTAAATACCACTCACACTTACCTGCGTGTCACACTTACCTGTATGGATATTACACGTGGGAGGTAGATTCCCAATCCCTGGAGGAGGAGGGCAGGGGCTGCCGACTTTCCTCAGTGCCAACTGTGGTCTCCACCAGGCACATCAAGCTGCAGTGCCAGCCTGGGGGGCTCCAACGTGGCAGAGACCCACAGAGCCCTGATCGTACAGCTCAATCCCAGTGAGGACTGCACCTGGACACTAGAAAGACCAGAAAACAAAAGCATCAGAATCATCTTTTCGAGCTTGCAGTAAGTAGAGGCTTCCGTTCCTAATGATGGTAGTCGAACTCTTTGGCCACACTAGGGAGCGTCTGTGGAAAGAAGTCAGCTGCTCCTAGAGGTAGTGGTAACCCCCATGACCACGGTGATGATGATAATGGCTGAAAGTCACTGACTGATGACTGTGCTCCTGGCGCTCGTCACAGAAGTCCTGCGAGGTCAGTACAAATACTAGAGGCACAGGGAGGTTGAGAACTTGTCTGAGGTCATACAGCTAGTAAGTAGAATGACCAGAGTTAGTACCCAGACTGTCTAGTTTCAGATTATAGGTGCTAAAACACTAAACTCATGGTTCCAAACTTTGCTGTGCTTTAGAAGAAACAGGGGAGCTTTCGCAAACTCAGATTCCCAGGCTGTACCCCATATAATTAGCTCAAAATCCTGGGGTGGGACCCAGGCATCAGTGTTTTTTTTTTTTTTTATTTTAAACTTTGTAGTTTGACATAAATATACACTCACAAGAATTTTTTATAAGTGCCCAGGTGATGGCAGAATGAGGCAAGGTGAGAACAGGACGTCGCAGTATAAGATTCTCTCAGGGCTTCATGAGAACAGCCCAGTTCATTCTCTCAACAGCCCTCTGGGGTAGATGCAATCTAATCCTCATTCAATGGATAAGAAAGTCCGGAGAAGTCACTTAACATGCCCAAAGTCACACACTAATAAAAGTGGGAGAAGAATTGAATCCAAGCAACCTGGCTCAGAGCCTGTGCTCTTACCCTATCCCCGTGGTTCTAAAACTGGAGAGAGTAGCAGCAACGCCTGGAGGGTTTTTTAAAAGCAAGGTTGCTGGGCCCCAGCCCCAGATTCTCTGAATCAGATGGGGTAGGTTGGGCCTGAGAATTTACATAGGTAATGAGTTCCCAGGTGTTTCTGATGCTACTGGTAGAGGTGCCACACTATGAGAGTCATGGCCCTAGACCACTGAAGTTGGAATTGATTTCCCTCAGAGAAACAAGAGAGAAGGGGGATGTCTAAATTTCCTGGAATGGTAGGGCTATTAAGAAACATATACACTATTCTTGCTGTGTAAGAACAGAGGAGAGGAGAGAACAGAGCATGGGAAGAGTGAGGGAAGAGGAAATTAACATTTCACGTTTACTGGACACCTCCTGTGTGCCAGGCCTATGCCAGGTGCTTCAAGTGCAGAATGTTATAAACCTCATGGCATAGTATGAAGTAGGCTGTAATATCCCCACTTTACAGACCAGAAAACTGAAATCAAGAAAAGTAAAATCACTCATCCAAAGTACACAGCAGGAAGTGACTAAGATGGAAGGAGAATTCAGGTTTGTCTTCCCTTGTGTTTTTTCCTCTAAGTCATCTTGGAAATACGTCCTCTGGAGCATTTGGAGAGACAATGTCAGAATCGGCAGAAAACAATAATCCTGGGCTGCCCTGTCCAATGCAGGGCATGAGACTGTCCTTAAGAATGAGGAAGTGTGATGTGAGGAAAGGAAGGGGCAACTAGGAAGATGCCAAAGAGCTTTATCTTGAGAGAGGTGGCCATGGAAGAAGAATTGCTTCACCTTTCCACAGGCTTGGATTTCAACTGTCAAAGGGGATCCGTTCTAAATAAGAAGTTCCCACACCAAACAGTCACATGGGTTTGGGGAACAGGAGAGATGGAAGCAGGGAGAAGATGGGTTCCAGCCCCATCTTCCTCACTTACTTGTTGTAAGATGTCGGCAAAACAGTTCAGTTCCCTGAGTCATTTAAGACTGCTAGTATATGGTTTGATGTTGGGGGAGGTGGGGGGGGTTGGTCTTGGAGTGGTTGAGATGAACACAGATGTGCCACTGTTTTGTAAAGTGGGATGCCAATGTCAACAAACTCTGCAAAACCCCCTTTGCTGGAGGCTCGTCTCTAACCACAGGTGTGTTCTGTTCACAGGCTTGATCCAGATGGACGTTGTGAAAGTGAAAACATTAAAGTTTTTGATGGGAACTCTACTAAGGGGTCTCTGCTAGGGAAAGTCTGCAGTAAAAATGACTACGTTCCTGTATTTGAATCATCATTCGATACATTGACGGTTCAAATAGTCACCGACGCTGCAAGAATTCAAAGAAGTGTTTTCATTTTCTACTACTACTTCTCTTCTGACACCTGTAAGTTCTCATTTACACATTGTATGCACACGCCACCTGCAAGCACAAAAGGTTACACACTCTCCTGCCTGGGTTGTTGTAACCTTGAGTCTGAGTCTATTCCCTCAGAGACTTCTCTACTTGTGAGAGCAGTGGTTCTCTAACTTGTGTGCATAAGAATCACCTGGAAAGCTTATGGAATCACAGATTTCTGGGCCCCACCACAGAGATTCTGATTCATTGGTTCTGGGGTGGAGCCCATGAGTATGCCTTTCTAACCAGCTCCCAGGTGAAGCAGAGGGATGGGGCTGATCAGATGACTACCTGTTGAGGTGTACTGTGTTAGACACCAAGGCAGACTCTCAAAGCTCAGCCTGTTTAGTAATAACTCTGAGATCTTTTGAAATGCCTGTTCAGGGATCACTCCTCCATCTGGTCTGATTCATTAGGGGAACACATGCTGAGAATCTCTGACCTCACATCCGAATCTAAGACTATCAGACAGTCAACAGTTACAATTACATGGTTCTGTATTCACAGCACCTAAATTCCATTCCAGCCCAAAGCAGAATGCCAAGAAATTCTGTGAGTTCACGAGTAAAGCTCCACTCTGGTTTGCTTTCCGAGACCCAGAGCTGATCATATCACTCTCCTGCTTAAACCACTGATTCCTTGGTGCTAACAAATCTGTGGAGTGCAGCAGTCAAGGTTTTCCCAAGCCAGACCCAGGGCACCCCTTCAAGCCTGATCTATAGCCACTACCTGACATGTAGCCTCGGCTTTAGCCAATCTAAACCATTTTACCTCCCCCTAAAAAGAGCCTTCAGTGTTGTTTCTTCATGCTACATTTGTCCAGTTGCTTGCTTACCTACTGGGGAAGGGAGGGACCAAGGATGGGGCCAAACTCATGAAGGCTGCATTTGAGGTGAGTTTGAACAATAGAGTGACTAGAGTAGGGAGAGGTGGGAATCAGTGGAGGAGGACTCATGTCAGCTGGAACCAACAGTCCAAGGAGACACAGGAAGAAAAGGACAGGCTGGAATAGCAGGTCACATGGTAGTAGCTGATGAGGCTGGAAAGCTAGGCTGGGGCTAAGTGGGGAAGAGCCCTCAATGCTAGTTCTCAGAGTGTGACTTTTCTTTCTATGGCTCAGTCCAGGTAATGGAGGGTCTCTACAGCTGGGATGGATCTTATAGCAAGACTTTAATATTATCCATTTGGCAGCAGTATAAAGATTCACTCTCTGCCCTGCACCAATGGGCAGAAAATCCAGTGATAGAGAAGGATGAAAACCTCGGTATGCTGCCAGTTCAAAAGATGGAGATGGAATAAAACTCAGGGGAGACTTACTAAGCTTCTTCCACAACACAGAAATTAAAAGAAGCCTTTATCTTGATTTACACTCTTTGTCACCCTCATCCCTTTCAGCTATTCCGAACTGTGGGGGTTATCTGGACACATTGGAAGGTTCCTTCACCAGCCCCAATTACCCAAAACCACATCCTGAGCTGGCCTATTGTGTGTGGCACATTCAAGTGGAGAAAGGTTACAAGATAAAATTAAACTTCAAAGAGATTTTGTAAGTATTGTGGTCCATTTCTCCTGTTGGAAAAAATGCAGTGAGCCCACCTAGCACATGGGGGTCCTGGGGAAGAGGAATTATCACATGAACCCCCTCAATTCTTTTCAAAGAATTTATTTATAAAGAAAGCACTAATACTATTGCATTGAACTAAGTTGTCGATTTTTCTGAACATTCTGATGTCATGTCAGGGATTGATAAAGCCCCAGGTTTGTCATCATAAACCTGAGATAGATAGCACTGTAAGGAAAAACCCTTAATCACTTAAGAATGGGATTGTTGGGTTATAGAAAATAGAATTGAATTGGTTTGAAAAGCTTTTCTACCAGAAGCCCTGCATCTCTAGCCTAGAAGTGGACGAGCACTGCAGATTTGATTTTGTTGCTGTCTATGACGGCTCCTCCACCACCTCTGGCCTGATTGCACAAGTGTGTGGCCTTGTGAAGCCCACCTTCGAATCCTCATCAGACTCGTTGACTGTCGTGCTGTCTACGGATTACGCCAACTCCTACCGGGGCTTTTCTGCTTCCTACACTTCGATTTATATGGAAAATGTCAACACTAGTAAGTCATATTTTACATTCCTTAGCTATTTTGAGATCTCTGAAGATTGTGTACATGGAAAATGCTCCTTGATTCTTAGCTGTCTCTGGCTATCCCTATTTGATACTTTGAGAATTAGTTGTGTGCATTGCTTAATACAAGAGGAAATTAATGATTTTATTAACCTGAAAAAGATTTCTGCAGAAAATATGGGCTGTTTCCCTTGATGCCTTCTGCAAAGACACAATTAAAAATATTTGATTTACAGATTCTAGCCACAAACAAGGTCACACAGTGAACATTGTAAAAGGCAGATCAACCGCTCTGTTATCTCAGAGTTCTGATTATGGTTTCGGGCAAAACGGGTTTTGAGTTTTTATATATTCTTCTGTACACATAACTTTTCAAAATTCAAAGTTCCTAGCTGACATAAACATGATCATATTTTTTTTTCTTTGGACAGCATCTTTAACTTGCTCCTCTGACAGGATGAGAGTTATTATAAATAAATCCTACCTGGAATCACTTAAATACAATGAGAGTAACTTACAACTAAATGACCCAACTTGCAGACCAAAAGTATCAAATGTGGTGGATTTTTCTATCCCTCTTGATGGATGTGGTACAATCAAAAAGGTAAAGTGAAACACCAATAGCTTGGTTTTGTCGAATGCCAAAAGCATGTTGGGTAATGCTGACACTGTAATACTTGCTGGCTGCTTTAACGTACAACTCCCAGATCTTAGTGGCTTAACACTTGGTAGACATATGTGGACATATAATTGCACACACTCATTTATACACAAATGCCAAATTAATGCATTCATTTTCAGGGTAACTAGAGGGTGGTTATCTTTTCTAAAAGGTAAAGAACTCTGAAAATTCACTGGAGAGAGTTTGAACATCTATATGCTGTGGGTTTAACAGCCTACCAGTAATTCTTGTATAGAAAATGTTTACATTTCATATTTAGCAAAAATCTAGCTGCATTTTTATGATCTTCTTCTTTCCCCTGTAAAGACAGAAGGTAAAAACATTATCCTTATTTTAAACATGAAGGACATAAGTTTGTGATTTGTTTTACATTTTCTAGAACTTCAATTCAACATCTCAAACATTTTCAGCCTGCGGGGTCCTTGAGAGTACATACCCTAAATTTTTCAATCAGATCGTTAAACAACCACCTAATTGAAAAGAATGGAGGCTACACTCCATTCTTTAGGATAGAAGGAAATCAATAAGGATAGAAGGAAATCATTATTTTTTTGCCCAAAATGAACACCTGGCTATTACCTTGTGAATCCCTAGGCAAGGCAGCCTGGGGAGAACCTACTGCAGGACCTCTGTCTGTGTGCACTTCGGAAACCGCCCAGTTAGCCATACTACCTTAGTGCTACTTATGGAAGGCTATATGGTATAGAGTCTCAAGACTTTATAGGGCTAGAAAATTGCATTCAAAGTTGTTTTTAATGTAACTGAAAAAAATTCTGTCCAAGTTTATCTTCAAGTCTTTCTAATCCAAACTGAATCTCTCATCTCACATTTTCCTTGCTACCCATAATGTGTTTCTTAAATAAAACACATTTAAGGTTTATAGTATTCTGACATGAAAGCTGTTACTTGTGATTTAAGAAACTTGTGTCTCTGCCTGCAAATGTTATTCACATCTATGCTAGAAAATATTGCTGGGCTTAAAATACAACATTTGAATTCCATCTTGCTCTGCAGGTAGAAGGTCCTTCAATTACTTACACGAATAGAATCACCTCTATTCCATCCCTAACTTCTGAATTGATCACCCGTAAGAAACATCTCCAGATTGTTGTGAAGTGTGAAATGGAATATAATTCTACTGTGGAGATAATGTACATAACAGAAGATGACATAATACAAAATCAAAATGTGCTGGGCAGATATAACACAAGCATGGCTCTTTATGAATCCAATTCATTTGAAAAGCCTATACTGGAGTCACCATACTATGTGGATTTGAACCAAACTCTTTTTGTTCAAGTCAGTCTACACACCTCAGATCCAAATTTGGTGGTGTTTCTTGATACCTGTATCACCTCTCCCACGTCTGACTTTGCATCTCCAACCTATGACCTGGTCAAGAATGGGTATGTACTGATGGTTGATATTCTTTCTGAGGATTGATATTGACTTTAATGAAGTAATATTTTATGTGTGTGCATATATAATTAAAATATATATAATTTTTATAGTACTACTATGGAGTTTAATAAATTTATTTTAATCATTTTATAAAACGGTTATTGTGTACTAGTTACAAATAATTTCAGTTAAAACATTTCTATAGCTACAATCCATATCCACTACAATTTTAAGTGCATTTACAAAATATTTTCTCGTAGAAACAAATTTATTTTTGTCAAGAAGGCTTTATTTTCTTTTTGCTTTTTTCACATTTTGGTTATTTTCAACAGAAACCTAGAAGATTATTTCTTGCGTTCCAGCTTTAGAACATAAACATAACGTAGTCAGTAAAGTATATGTGGCATTCTTTAGGAAAGAAAAGAGAAAGTTCCTTTTTGAAATGAAAGGTTTCCTTTTTTTCTATAAGCTGATGGACTTTAACTACATCCACCCTAGTGACACATTCACAGCAAGTATGTAAAGTAAGGTGTTTGATTCTGATATATCAGAATTGATTTTCTAATTTATTCATATGGTCTAGGAATTTTAGAGCTGGAGAAAACTTTATCTCACCCAAGAATCAGATCTATAGTCTTAGCTCACTGTAGTCTAAGCTCAAGACATTGTGTTTCTAGAGAGATTTTTGGATCCACAAATTAGACAGTTCAAAGAAAACTTTGTATCATCTCTTTTTGCTATTGAAAAGACTGAACTTCCGTAAATTTCTAAATGTATCATAAATTCTGTTCCAGATGTACTCGAGATGAGACTTGTGAGGTATATCCCTTATCTAGACACTATGCAAGATTCCAGTTTAATGCCTTTAAATTTTTGAGAACTCTGAGCTCCGTGTATCTACAGTGTGAGGTTTTGATATGTGATAGTAGCGACCAACAGTCTCGCTGCCAACAAGGCTGTGTCTCTAGAAGGAAGCGAGACATTTCTTCATACAAATGGAAGGCTAATTCCATCGTAGGACCCATTCGTCTGAAAAGGGATCGAAGTGCAAGTGGAAATTCAGGTAAGAAAAAAGCTATTTCAATATATAAGAACACCTTATGGCTCATAAAATGCTGCTCAAATGTAGTCCTTCTTCAGCGTGTACAGTTTATAGATTTATGATAGTTTTAACAAAGCTCTAAATAAGTCATGAGTTTTAGGCATGCAAGATTAATTTTTATTTCTCTTAGTTGATAATATGTAAACCACGTACAGTTTAAGCACATTATACTCTGATAATTCACCATTATTCACATGGCTTTTGAGTATAAATATAAATATAATGTTGTCATTTCTATAAACAACAGTTTCCTTAGCTTCCTAACTCCTTATTATAGGCACCATGGCAGATAACTGAGTCAAAAATAATGTATTTTAACTCCTAAATGAGTAAAATAAGATGAACCAGCATCCCACACAATCACCTATTTGGAAAAAAGCTATTTTTTTAAAACAGAAAAAATATATTTTCAAGACAGCCCTGCTTCTTTTTAAAGGATTGAAACCTGAGCTCTGCCAGGTTGTGTGGGAAAGAGGCAATAGTAAATACTCAAGGATAATCCATAATTAAATGGTTTAGGATAAGCCAGAATTTATCTTATGAGAAAATGATTCTGGCATAAAAAGAATTGTATGATCTCTATATTATTATTTGAACGAACTATGAAGGAGTTTGATTTTCATTTGTAGCAAAATATTTCTATGACAAAAACAAAAGAGCACAAACAAACAAAAATTAAATTCATTAATTTTATAAACACACTCACTAAAAAGACTGCATCTATGGATATTAGTTTGAAATTAGTTGAAAATTCGTGAATGAAAGTTATTATAGAAGTATCACACATATTAGAAAAGTATCCTTTTCCTATTTCAAGAGAAGAAACTACTTTTTTGCTCTATTAATCAAATATATTTTGCAACTATGGGAAATAGAGACCATTAATAAATGAACCTGCATTTCCATTTGACTATTATGCTTGAATTTCACAAGTTTTTCCACCTTATGTCAGGGAACCAAATTAAGTTGACTATTTAAGCAAACAAATGTAAGGGTATCTTGTCTTTGAAATTAAATATAAACATAAGCTAAATCAAATATTTGGTAACAGTTCCTGTATGTTGTGTTGGCATTATATATTATACAGTCATTGATATATAAGATTCATAGGTCACGTAGAGATATAAATTTATGCAATTTTCTAATGCCAAGTAATACTTTTCTTTAAATGATTTTTATCTTGTTTCCATTTATAGGACTTCGGTATCAAATACATCAAGAAGAAACTCAGAATCAACCTTTCAACAGCCTGTATCTATGTTCATTCATGGTCCTTGCTCTGAATGTTGTGATTGTGGCTACAGTCATAGCAAGGCATTTTGTGCATCAGAGAACAGACTACAAATACCAGAAGCTGAGGAACTATTAAATTAAGGGTTCAGCCTTAAGTGAGACACGTTTCTCCTGAGTGCCGGAGGAATGCCACCTAATGGCTATATGCATTTTGAATAAAGTAGGGAGCATCACATCAAAGTGATGTACAGGTCCTCATGTCATTGTGGTCAGAGTGTGTTTCCTTGCAGGACAACTGAAATGAACAGACATTACGTAAGTTAGCTCTCATGTTAAACAACTAAAGCCACCAAAATATTAAATGAATTAAAAACATCCTTTTTCATACACACAAAACATTTTAAGTAAACATTAGGTTAAAAGTAAAAGGTTATTTTTACTTAAGAAAAGCAGTCTTCAGCATTAGATGTATTCATTTTCTAGATGGAAATATGCTGCCCTTTGAAACATAAACAATAGTTATAATTTCTGAAACTAAATTGTGACAGAGGGAACTGAAATCTCCTTGATTCATATGCCTTACTGCTTTAACGCAGAGTCTCAGCATTTCACACCTTCAACATCTCAGAAAAGGGCTTTGGAAAGAGGACCCTGACTATAAAAGGAGAGACTTCTGTGTAGTTTCTGGGTTAATGAGATAAATAACATTTCTCCTCCCACTTACCATTCAAACAAGCCAAAAGTAATAGTCCTAACAAGGATTAGTCAGTTCTGATTTACACTTTCCTAGCTACTGTGGCTGAGGAAATATTGTTAAAGACCCCAGTGTGAACTCATTTGACACGTGCCACACATCACATCAAATTCTTTATCTTAGATGAACAGTACAACTCTACCTTGTCACCTAACGAGGTGGTCTCAGGCTCTAATATGCATCCAGACAGGCAGCCATCTTCCTGAAGGCCCAAGGTGTTCTCCACTTGTGTCCACAGGTACTGAGTATACAGCAGGCTGAGGGGAGACGTGGATATGGCAGAGTCTCTGCCTTCACGGAACAAGTCCTTAGGGGCCTGATCGATTCCCAACTACAAATCAAAACAGACCTGCCCCATTTTTTTTTTAATATTTCCATGTAGATCTTCCAAATACAGTACTTCCCCAACCAGCCGTGCATTTGAGTCTCCTCTGCCTTCCTCCATCTGTAAACCTAAATGGAACTACTGACAAGTTCTTTTCTAACCTAATGTGAAAACATTTAAGAACTCTATTAGAATGCGCAAATCAAATGAAGTACTTAAAAACTGTCTGGTCATCAGCCCTTCAGCCGTCCCTCTGTCAGGAACTGACTGAACGTCCACTGGTGGCCATGCAAGGGGATTATTCAGAGGCACATCAGGCATAATAGTGTAATACTAAGAAAACTGTCAAATATTTACTCACTAGAAAGGGTAAAATCATATCACCATGAATCAAAAAACCCTTTGTAGTGGAGCTATTGAGCTATACCAATACATTTTCAGTAGATAATAATACGTGGTATCAGTAAGCTGCTTTTTCTTGGGAAAAACTACAGTGAAGTGATTAAAGGACCTGGATCTGGGGGCCGGCCTGGTGGCATAGTGGTTAAGTTCGCGCGCTCTGCTTTGGCAGCCCGGGGCTCGCAGGTTTGGATCCCCGGCGCGAACCAATGCACCGCTGCTGTGGTGGCTCCCATATAAAGTGGAGGAAGATGGGCATGGATGTTGGCCCAGGGCCAATCTTCCTCAGGGGGAAAAAAGGAGAATTGGCATCGGATGTTAGCTCAGGGCTGATCTTCCTCACAAAAAACAAAAAAACAATCCTGGATCTGGAGTTAGTGGCCTGGATTTTAGTTCCTCCAACTTACCTGGTGGATTACCTTGGCCAGGTCACCTTCAGCCTTGATCTCCACAATTTAAAATAGGGATGGTAACATCTGCCAACCCCCTGGGAGTATTGTGAGGATTAAATGAGAAAATGAGTTACAGTCAAGGGCTATCTGTGTTCCGCTTACCGCCAATGATGAGTCCTCATGGCCAGCCCCCGAGTCCCATTTTGGAGTCTGCTTCCTCAGACCACACCTGGTCCTGACTATCAAGAGGTGGGTTCCTGGGAAACAAGCTCTGGCATAGAGGTTTGTGAGGGAAGATTCCTGGGGAGTGCACTCAAGATCAACCCCTGTGTGGAGTGAGGGAAGCAGGACTGGGCAAGGGGAGTCGGTGAACTATGGAGCAGCTATAGTAAAAGGCCCAGCCAATCCCTGGGGAGTCCTAGGCTGGGCTGGCCCTTCAGAGATGGCCCACATTGAAGCATGGTGCTCAGATGTTTATGTGTTCTATTGACCAGCCATTGGATAAAGGCTGTGAACTTGGACAGGGCAGCTGTCTTGAGCTGAGGGAAATTCTGGGGAAGTAGTGGAGCTGAGAGCCAACACTCTCAGCAGCTTGAAGAATGAGTGACTCCATCTGAGGGAGACCTGGGTGTCACATCAGATGCTCTTAAAAGAGTAAGATTTTCAGAATGTCTCGCAAAGTAAAGTCTAACTCTGCTATATTCAAGAGACCTGCTTAACAAAGTGTTTGAGGAAGACTAAAAGCAAAGGATGGACAGTGGAATAGCAGCATGTGCAGTCGAGATGCCAAGGGCCACCTCATTACTGCTGAGCAGGGTAGAACCCAGGCTACCCACGTGGCCTCTGCTTCCCCTCCTCCCAGAAAGGTGGACTCACCTCTTCCTTACCTCTGTCTGGGTGGGTAGAAGTCCCTGCTCTCTACTAGGCCTCCTCTGACCCCACCCTAGAGCAGACTCAAAGGGCTGCATCATACCTGCCTGTCCAGGCTCCCTACCTGATCTTCACTTGACATGGGGGATGCAGGGGAGGCCCTGGTTACTACCCAGAGGTGATGAAAGCCCCAGCTCCCCATTCTGCCTTCTCTGATGCCACCCTGGGGAGGGGAGGGGAGAGGTAAGGAGTGCTGGGGGTGATTGGCAGTCTAGGCTCCCCACTTTACCTTTGCTGGCTGGGTTGCGGGTGGAGCCGCAGTTTTACCCACGGTGTTTGGAGCAGGGCAGGTATTATCTAAAAGTTGTCTGTCTTGCTAGGCTGCCCCTTTACTGGTCCTTTGGGTAGAGAGAGCAGGCTTCTCTTTGGGCCTTTTTGTCTGCACCATTGGTGTTTGCGAGTGGCTCCCTGTTAAGTGCATTTTGATCCATGGGGCATGGAATGCTCAACAGTGGCCCTGGCTTTTAACTTCAGCATTCCTAAGGATCACTTGGAATGCTTTTGGAAAGGGCAACTTCCTGGATCCTATCCACTGAACCACACCCAGAGAGCCTCATCTGGAAGTTCACTGGATCCTTATTTATTCTAAAATTTCAGTCCTGTCATCGTCAACACTTTTCACATTAGGGATTTGTTAAAAGCCATAAAATGCTAGATTTTGGAAGCTGTTAGCCTCCTCCCTCTCATGGATAAGTACAGTTAATGGGCAGGTGAACTTTTGAAAGTAGACACTATCAGCTCATAGTTACTTGGAAAAACTCCTTTATTTATTTGAAGCATTTGCAAGAAATAGATGCCAGATAATAAAATCATTTTTTCGTGTGACTGAAGATGAAGCTACTCAGTTTCAAATGATTAACTTTTGATTTAAAGATGCCATCTTCACCAAACTGACTAGTAATCACACTTCATCAACTTCTATGCATAAGCAGGGAACTTCACAAAAATAAAGGTATCACATTTTTACCAAGACAGTTGTCGACGAAGGGCATGTTTGTAATGAAACTGAGATGTTCCCCTTTCAAGGCAGTGCCTGTCTTGGGGTCACTTGTCAGATTTTCATCTCTCAGGACTTCAGGGTTGGCTCCCAGGCTCCACCATGCTATATATTGACAAAGACAGGAACAATTTCTTGGAGTTGAGGACTCATTTTAAATATTGCTACTGAATATTTCTTGACAAGCAAAAAAAAATCTGACTATGTTCAAGTCTGTTTCTTTAAAGACAACTTGAGGGTACTGAGCCTAGTACAGGCCTCTATCTGTCAAGATAAAAAAAGAGATTAGATCAAGTGGGTGCTGCCCTCCTTCTGTGGGAGGATGTGGGAATATGCTAATCTATCCTTGTGTGCTTTTCAGGTTTCTTATAATGCTTTGAGGATCTGGGAGACAGACTGAGATGAAGGTAACTCAGAAAGCAGGCACGAGTGGCTCTGATGATCGTGTTTCAGACTTTCTCATTTGCAAGCTGTAACCCAAGCCCAACAAAGCCGGGATCCAATTTGTTCCCTTTAAAACAGACAAACAAAGCTTGTTTGAGTAAATGACTATGAGTAAATGAATAAATGATGTGTTTTATTTAACTGACCAGTTATTAGAGTTAAAAAAAAAAAAAAAAAGAGCAGTGGCTGTCTGACAGACACTTAATTTATTTTTCTAAGACTCTTGGCAAGATCTGAAAGTAAATTCTCACACCACCAGAGGGACAGAAACAAAAAGATCCAGTACTAGCATCTGAACATTAAAAAAAATCTTTAAGTTGGCAATGTGGTATACAGAGATAACTCTGTTCTTTATAACATTTTGTACAGTTTAAGAAATGATCAAGTTCTGGATAGTGAAGAATTAGAAAATGCAACATTTCTAGCCTGCAAAGAGAATGACTGCCTTAGAAGTTTAGTAATCAGAGAAGATTTATTTAGTAACAAACCTCAGAGATAACCTCTTTAGCTATTTCTTTTATCCTGTCTCTATATAGACAACTTTGTCAAATTTGTTACTTAACTGAAAAGAAACAGACTTAGCTTCTAATTTCTAACAGATTCATGTGAAAATTGGAGAAATCACACAAGGGTCTTGCTCTGATCAGTTCGTTTGTGGATTTCCAGTGGCCCCACCATTTGGAAATGCTCAGTCTGCTCCTCCATGGTCTCCGTGGGGCCTGCATCCCTCTTACTCTGCCCTGCGCAGCCCTGGGAGCAGCGGGAAGAGTGGTCCCCCACTTTGCACACGGCGACCTTACACTGCAGATAGAGCACATCGTAGCTGTTGAGAAAGCTGAAGGCATTGAACTTGAACTGGGCCATGTTCTTCTGGCGGGAGTGGAGGTTGACATAGGTATTGTCTTTGATGCATCTGATGGGAAGAAAAACCCCAGGCCAAAAGGATTAATTTAAAGCATGTTGAGAATTCACTCTGACTCAAATAATCAGGCTTGGACTCAGACCTCTGAATTCTAAATGGAGTTCTTCCCATTACCCACTCTTATTTTTTATAAAGAAACTTTATAATACTACCATGAGTGGAAAAGCCACTGTTCCTGGCCAGAAATAGAAGGGAACTGTAAAATAAACATAATAAAAACAAAACAAGGTAATTAAATTCTAGTTAGAGCTGCAGCCTTCAGAAGCCTACTCTATTTTGTCAAAAGGGGAGATTAAAGGTGGTGGTTGTATTATTTGAAGGTGAACTTAGATTATTTTAAAATGTATTTTGTAAACCCTAGAGCAACCACTGAAAAAGTTAGGGAAAGAAGTATAAATGATACATCAAGAGAGGAGATAAAATGGAATAATATAAAATGCTCAATTAAAACCAGCATATAAAATGCTCTATTAAAACCAGCAAAAAGAGAGTGGGGGGAGAAACAAAGAACAAATGCAACAAATAGAAAACAGTGACCAAGACAGTAGGTTTTAATCCAACTATATCCATAATCACTTTAAATGTGAATGGTCTAAATATACCAATTTAAAGACAGAGACTGCCAGAGTAGAATAAAAAAAACAAAAACAAAACCAAGACCCAACTATATTGTTGTCTATAAGAAACCCACTTTAAAGATAAAAGACATAGATAAGTTAAAAGTAAAGGGATAGAGAAAAATTTACTATTCTAATACTAATCAAAAGAAAGGTAGAGGGCCGGCCCCATGGCTTAGCGGTTAAGTGCTCGCACTCCGCTATTGGCGGCCCGGGTTCGGATCCCGGGTGCGCACCTATGCACTGCTTCTCCGGCCATGCTGGAGGCTGCGTCCCACATACAGCAACTAGAAGGATGTGCAACTATGACATACAACTATCTCCTGGGGCTTTGGGGAGAAAAAAATGAGGAGGATTGGCAATAGATGTTAGCTCAGAGCCGGTCTTCCTCAGCAAAAAGAGGAGGATTGGCATGGATGTTAGCTCAGGGCTGATCTTCCTCACAAAAATAAATAAATAAATAAATAAATAAATAAATAAATAAAAAGAAAGGTAGACTTGCTATATTAATTTCAGACAAAATAGACTTCAGAGGCAGAATAATTATTAGAGATGAAGAGGGGCATTATTTATAATAACAAAGGGGTCAATCCTCCAAGAAGACATAACAATCTTTAATGTATATGCACCTAACAACAAAGCATCTAAATATATGAGGCAAAAACTGATAGAACTGCAAAGAGAAATCCACAAATGCACTATTATAGTTGGAGACTTCAACAGCCCCCTATCAATACTTGACAGATCTAGCAGGCAGAAAATCAGGAAGGAGATAAATGACCTAAACAGCACCATCAATCAGCTAGACCTGATTGACATTTATAGAACACTCCATCCAACAACAGCAGAGTACGTATTCTTCTCAAGCCCACATGGAACATTCACTGAGATAGACCACATACTGGACCATAAACCACACCTTAACAAATTTAAAAGAACAGAAATCACACAAAACACATTTTTGGATCAGAATGGAATTAAACTAGAAACCAATAGCAGAAAGGTTGCTGGAAAATTTGTAAATATTTGGAAATTAAACAACACGCTTCTAAGTAACCCATAAGTCAAAGAAAAAGTCTCAAGAGAAATTTAAAAATATTTCAAACTAAGTGAAAATGAGTATACAATTTACCAAAATTTGTGGGATGCAGCTAAAGCTCTGTTTAGAGGGAAATTTATAGCATTAAATGCATCTATTGGAAAAGAAAAAAAGGTCTAAAATCAATAATCTAAGCCTCCACCTTAGGAAACTAGAGAAGGAAGAGCAAATTAAATCTAAAGCAAGTAGAAGAAAAAATGGTACCAAACTGTGCCTCTCTCCTTGATATATTTGTTTGGAGAATTGAAAGGGAAGAGCTTTCTCACTCTGCATCTCAGTGCAGTTTAGTGCCACATCTGTGCACCCTCACACCGTAGCTCATACCACCTGTGGAAGGTGCTGCATCTTGCCCCTCCCCTGGCTTTTGAAAACAGGCACCACAATGATGCTTCTCGTGTGGCTCTCACCACTCTAAAGCTGCCATCAGTAAATGATGGGTTCCTGTTATTTTTGTACTGGGTTGTCAATTGCCCATCCATAAGCATTCTGCCCCTGTTAGGGGTTAAGGGAGCTATAAAGGCAAACAACTTGACAAAGTTCTACCTTGGCAAATCCTTTGTTTAACCAAAGGAGCCAGAATAAATCTCACTACTATAAGAGTTGAGCCTGATAACCCACCAGCCCATCAATGTAGGCCAAATGCCCTGAGGGCCTGAACCATGAATGGGGAGTGTAATAAAGTCATAAAACTCGAAGGTAAGGGAGCCTTAGGTATGAAAGGGTGGGATTGGACAGCAGAGTCTGAGACAGCAAGGGCTCTGCCCAGGATTCTTTGGGAAGCTGTCCAGACTTCCTATAACTATTTGTCCCAACTGGGATCAGACGGCTGGTGAAAGCCCCAACTCTGCTTCTGGGGCAGGACTCTTTTGCACAATGTTATGATTTAAGACTTCCAGTTGAGAAGCCACTGGTCACCCAAAGGAATGCCACGGGAATAAAATAGTCAACCCGAGAGGGCCTTCCATTTTCCTTACCCTTGCCGGATCAAATCATACTTGACTGTTGTAAAATCATGAGGATCTGGAGAAGCCACACAGGTATCCACAAAGAGCCTCAGGCTGGGATCCGGGCTGTGGAGTGTGGCCTGGAGGAAGACCTCTTTCCTCTGGCTGGCATAGTATGGCCCCATGCTCTCCACATGCTGGGACACAGGCAACTCGAGGAAAGATATGGACACATCGTAGCCGGCACCCTCCCTTGGGACGTCAGCCCCAGGAATGATTTCAACTGCTGACGGGCCGTCCACCCTGCAGGTGAACTTCAGCTGGGGCACCTTGTGCCGCACAATGACTCGGTCGTGGTGGCCCCGTATTCGGCCTCTGATGGAGTTGGAGTAGCTGAGGGAGCCAAGGCTTTCCTGGGAGGATGAGAAGAGAGTTGGTGGCTAGTGCTCCTGGCTCCCTGACAAGTACCTTCCTTCACGAGCAGAACCTCTCCTTCACACCTTCTGACAAGCTGGAGGGCAGGAGGCCCTGGGCCAGACTTCTGTGGTACCTAATGACATAATTGGGGGGCCTTATGTCTTTGCTTCTTGGAGTTTGGGGTGTATGCAGAGAGCCCCTGGTGTGTGAGCCTGGATTTCCTTTTTCCCTCCTGTGAGGGCTAAGCTGTGGTATATGAGGTGGGGTGCAAGGTCCACGCTGGCTGCCAAATTCCTCCACACACTCCGCTCCCTCAGCCCATGATGTTCTTAGGCAACCACAGACCACACCCCACTGCAGCTCTTATCTTCTCTTCTGGCTCCTCCCTGCTCTTGACCCCAGACCAGTTCTGGCTCCTCATGAGCTGAGGGCCTGGCCCTGCTGACCTTTGCTCTCAGCCTGCTCCTTCAAATGCAGCATGACTTGAAGGGGCTGAAGGGGTGCTGAAGGCTGAGGAGCAGGGGTCCACCACCTCTGGCAGCCTCCTTCCTGTAGCCCAGAGAGTCAGCCTGCCCAGGGGCACTTGTTCAAGGAATCCCTGACTGTGTGACTCAGATCCTGTGACATTCTGCCTTGGAACCCTCCAAGGACCACCCCGTCAGCTTAGACCAGTGCTTCTCAACTTTTTCTCCATGATGGCCCTCCTAAGAGGAGGGATTTTTAGGCATTTTCTTTTTTTTTTTTTAGGTATTTTCTTTCCTACCCATCCCACCCCCTTCCCAGCCTCCATTATGAAACTTTTGTACAACAAATATACTATATATGTTCTGTATGTATATCTGTGCTTTATCCATAAAGAAAGATTTTTCCCTTTTTTGCCCCTAAAAACCAATATCTCTCCACCCCCTTCAGGGTGATGTGACACCCATTGAGAATACACAGCTTAGAAGAAAAGCTAAATTCCATGACCACATGGCCCGTCCCCTTCCAACCTGACCTTGGGCCTCCCGGTGCTCACGGGCCTCGTGGTGCTCACAGGCCTCCGGTCTCCTCCCTGAGCCCTCCAAGCTTGCTGCTGCCTCGGGCCTCTGCTGGCTGATCCCTTGCACGCAGGGCTCCTGTCCGTCTCTACTGGCTCCATCTCCTCATTCAGGCCACGGCTCCTCAGCCGCCCTATTCAGAGCGGCCTTCTTTCTAGCCCATATCCTTTCCTATCCCCTCCCCTGTTTTATTGTCTTCTTAACCGTTTCTCCATAAAATGACTCTCATTTGTGCCTTTGTTCAGTGCCTGTCTCCCTTTTCTCGAATGTAAGAGCCACGGAGCAGGGGCCCCGTCGGTCTTTCGGCTGCTGTGTCCTCAGCACCTAGAAGGTTGCTTGTTCACTGACTCAGAAATCAGACATACAAGGCAGTGTTTTCCACGTGGGTGGCCTGGGACTGGGCCGTCACCCCAGGTGGTTCCTGACCTGCTGTGTCCTCTGCCCCAGCACTGTGGTCAGCACACAAGGCTTGCTGGGGGAGCTGGGCCAGCCAGGGCCAGAGAGGATATCTGAGGGTCCTCCCTGATGGCCCAGAAGCGTCCAGGAGCTGCCCACCTCCCAGACACGGGGGACGGGGGGGGGGAGGGTTCTAGCATGGCTCCTGGGACAGAAACTTCTAAGGTAAAAACTAAAATTTCAGACCAAAAAGGATAAGAATGATCATGGTCTGCACAACCAGATGGACAAAATGTGAAGTGTGGAGTTGAAGGGGTTATTTGGCATCATGTCGACTGTTTCAATGAATTCAACGTCCAACAATGCAAAGCGTTTTCTGTGTGTGTCTAAACATGGATGCAAAAGAACAAAGGAATAGCATGGGGATTTTGTTTTGAAAAATGTTATATTGTTAAATTGCACTGAGATAAATGATTTCATGGTTATACACTCTTTCTATATCTTTGGTATACTTGTTTCCTGTCAACTTCAATGACATCGTTTTGTGAAATAAGCGGGTGGTTAAGGAAAATGAAATAGACATTTGCATTTCATTATATATAAGTGTCCTAGATATTTGCTTTCTAATTGGGAAAAATCGCTAGCAACCTGGTTAGAAATATAGCAGTCAGACAGACAGATCATCTGTCCTCCCCCACGCCCAGCACCACAGCTTGCACATGGTACATGTGCACCAACGCTGAATAAAGAAGCACGTTGTGAAAAATGCTTTGATTTTGGAGCTATGAGAACACCAGGCATCCATCCGTCCATCCATCCATTTACCCATTCATCAGTCCATCAGCCCTCAACACTTGTTACTATGTATTCCAAATTCAGTATGTATCCCAAATTCCCAAAAGGAAGGAAAGTGTCAGACAAATTAGTGAGCTACTCCAGGTCTCACCAAACTCAGAAACAGAATCATGGCTTGTGCCTTTCCTCTGTCCTTACCCAGGTTTTCAACAGGCGGTTGAATTTTCCAAACCAATCTCTTTGGCCTCCATCTACAGAAGAGTACAACCACCATGTCAGTTTCTTACCTGTCTGATGGTGCCACAGTGGCCATAGGGAATGTTGAAGATCAGATAGCGCCCTGTGACTTGGGGGCGACACAGCTTATCATTTAAGTGGATGTCCCAGGAAGAGTAGCCCAGCCTTCGGAGATAGCCTCGGTCAATGATGACTTGGAAGAGGTGAGGTAAGCAGGAGAGCTGGGCTGCAGGAGGTGGAGGATGGGGAGATCCTTACGAAGAGAACCTGGTACACTGGACGTGTAGGTCAGGGGTGTGGGTGCATGTTTACTTTATGAAAGTACTATGGACAGTGCCCTGGGTTGGGGCTGGCTCAACTCTCATCACCCTCCACCTTTGACTTGACTTTCATTGACTTTATTTACATCCCCCCTTTTCCAAAAGTCACACTATATCCATGGGGACTCCCACCCACAGCATATGACCCATGGGCCATGAGTCAGAGCCTCAGCTAAGGATTTAAAGGACAGCTCATTTCACACATTGAGAACACTTGAGCCTGAACAGGCATCTATCTGGGCTTTTGTATGAGAGGTAGGTTGGCAAGAGAGTGGAAGCAAAGGGGGAGGGTATAAAGGGGCTTCTTCCCCAACCTTCTGAAGCCCAGTGAGTGGATGGAGACACAAGAGATCTCCGTGGAGACACACAAGCTGGTCCCCCTCCCACTCCCCCACAGCCTGTTCTTTCTTCCCCAGACTGCTCTCTTAACTCCCCCTTTCCGCAGCCTCAGATCCTAGGAGGAGAGAAGACTTTACCATTGTCTTTGGGTACAACAGAGTCAGCTGGACCTGGTGAGGAGAGAATGAAGAAAAATAAATGTCAGTGTGCAGAAACACTGGAAGAGAACGATGTAGCCAGCAGTAGACATGAACTGCAGGGAAATGGGCTCATTTGACTCAGCTATTAAAGCTGGAACACATGACATTAAAATACTCCAGGGCAATGTGAAGGAAAGGAGGGCCCAGGGCCTCCTGATGGGGCCGAGGGAGGGATTCTGGCATGTGCTCAGTAGTGTTGAGAATACAGATGTCATCAACACCAAGATCTGTTGGAGCAAGAGAACAGTAAATAGAGGGCTTTGCAGGTTATAAACACTGTTACATGTATGACCTCTGGCTGGTGTCCCTTCCCATGCACATGACATCCATGAAAACTCAGGCTTGGAAATAAATATGCAGTTTGTGGCTATCGAAGGCCTCCACAGCCCAGAAGCAAGGCAGGACAGTAACCTAGGGCCAGTTCCCAGGCCAGGAAGCACAGCTAGCCAGATTCACTCTTTGCCCAGACCACTGGTCCTTTGGATACTGTACCCAATGAAAAGGAAACCCCTTGGTGTATAATCCAAGAACAGAAAATAAGTTACTATTTAGGGTGGGCCCCCCAACAGCATGAGGAATGGTTGGAACTGTGAACAGACACAATACAAGTGAGAATCTGGAAGATAAGAACCTCACCACCCCAAGCAGACTCGTACTACCTGGCTTTCTTCGGGATTAATGTTTGTCTTAAAGGGACTCAGTTTTTCTATTCGGGTCCCATTTCTATGCAACACAAAAGGTAAAAGCAACAGCAATGATTCCACTGATTAAACTGTAAAAAACTAAGAATGGAACAGACGTGGTGAGCTCAGACTCGTTCACCAAATCTTAGAATTCCATAACTCCTTGAGATTTATATGGGTAAATTTAGGACAAATATAAGGAAGTACTACTCTACACAGAAGGGGGTCAACCTATGGAAGTCAAAATGACAAGATGGATAGTTGGTAAAAATAAAAAATATTCCAGGAAAGGTAAGCCAAATCTTGGATGAAAGGGACACAGGGGAACCTGGACATTGTAGGGTTTGGACTTCTGAGGGCCGGGTCAAGGTGAAGAGGGGTGTCTGCTTAGGAAGGTCCCTTGATGCCCTTCTCAGAGATTGAAAGAGGGACAGGACAAATGTAGTTGGATGGATAGCAGCAAGCTCCATGTCCTTACTCATTTCATTACACTGTCACTCCTTCCTTTGACCTCATAATCTTTTAGCTATATTTTGGAACAGATATTGCCCTTAACCGGAATTAGACAAAACTGATTAATGAACCCCTAAGCCTGGACCATTAAAATATTTACCACAACGGTTGTATAACAAATACGTCCTTGCTATCCTGGCATCTGGCGCCTTGGCCAACCCGATATACCTTGGGGTGGTGAGTTTTGACCTTAGGAATGCTTGGAGAGAACAGAAGGGACGGAGCCTCGGGGACACCCCAGGGCCGGCGTGGCGAGGGAGCTGGGTACCTGCGCAGACCACGCCCGCGTCCTCCTGGTGCCGGCAGTTGTGCCGCGCCCAGCCCGAGTGGGCGCAGCGCTCCAGCGCGTCCTCGGTGCCCGCGCAGCGCACGTCGTCCAGCAGGATGGGCCCTCGGCCAGGGCCGAAGCGGCAGCGCCCCGGGGCGCCCAGCGCGCGGCCGCAGCCCAGCAGGCGGCACACGACGCGGGCGTTCTTGATGTTCCAGTGGTCGTCGCACACTGTGCCCCACACGCCCTGGTGCCAGACCTCGACCCGGCCCTCGCAGCGGCTGCGCCCGCCCTCCAGGCGCAGGGGCGGGTCTGTGGGAGCAAGAGAGCGAGTCAGGTGTGCAGAGCGCATGGTCAGGTTCCTACCGCAACCCCATCTCAGGGTATCGCCGGGTATTTGCAATAGAAAAAATAACACTGGAATGAGCGCTATGTCTGATTTTATTGTTCTCCGTCTCTCTTTCTCTCCAGCCCCCATCTTGCCTCTCTCTCTTTTTCTCTTTCTCTCTCTCTCTATCCCTCTCTCTCTCCGCCCACCTTTCTCTCTGTATCACACTCACTCTGTCATAAAAAGTAAAACCTTAATTAACTGAAACCCTCGAGGAATGGCCATTACGGGCAGCCTAATTTCCCACATAACCTCAGAACTTAATCTTTAAACGAAAATACTAAAAACCAAAAGAAAAAACAAAACCAGGCAAACCGCCAAATCTTTGGAAGACAACTGTTCTAAAATGAGGCACTGCTCTGACTTATCAAACAAAATTTGTCCAATGAGATTTCTTTTACTCTTGATGAATAAAACCCAACATTTTAACTGTAAAAACTCTATTACTGGGGCCGGCCCTGTGGCGTATAGGTTAAGAGCCCACGCTCTGCTGCTGGCAGCCTGGGTTTGGATCGCAGGCGCACACGGAGGCACTGCTTGGCAGGCCATGCTGTGGCTGCGTCCCATATAAAGTGGAGGAAGATCCGCAGGGATGTTAGCTCAGGGACAGTCTTCCTCAGCAAAAAGAGGAGGATTGCCATGGATGTTAGCTCAGGGCTGATCTTCCTCACAAACAAAACAAAACAAAACAACACAACCCCCCCCCAAAGAAAAACTCTATTATGGGTACAAATTTCCAGTTATAAAATAAATAAGTCCTGGGGATGTAATGCACAGCATGGTGACCATAGTTAATAATATTTGTATTGTACATTACAAAGTTGCTAGGATAGTAGATCTTAAAAGTTCCCATCACAAGAAAAAAAAGTTTGTAATTATATATGGTGATGGATGTTAACTAGATTTATTGTGGTGATCATTTCACAATGTATACAAATACTGACTCCTTATATTGTACACCTGAAACTAATATAATGTTATATGCCAATTAACCTCAATAAAAAAAAAAAACCTATATTATATAACCTAGCTATTCCGTTCCTAGGTGTTTACTCAAGGTAAATGAAAACACATGTCCACAGAAAGATTTGTACATAACAGAATTCTCAGCAATAGGCAAAACGTGGAAAGAATCCAAATGTCCATCCACAGGAGAAGGGACAAATAAATTGTGGTATAGCCCTACAATGGAATATTACTAAGCAACCAAAGGAACAAATTACCAGTATATGGAACCACATGGACAAATCTCAAAAACAATTTGTTAAGCAAAAGAAGGCAGAAGGAAAGAGCACATATTATTTGATTCCATTTATATGAGATTCTAGAAAAACAAATCTGAACTACAGTGACAGCAGCAGATCAGTGATTCCCTGGGGGAGGTGAGAGGGATTTAGTGCAAAGAGGTATGAGGGAACTTTCTGGGGTGATGGAAATGCCTTCTATCTTGATTGTGGTGGTGGTTACATAGTTATACATTAGACAAAACTCACAGATGTGTGCAATTTATTGTACATAATTATACCTCCCAAAAGGTGATTTAAAAAGTAAAAATAGTAAAAAAGTAAAACCTGTATTATGTTGGTGGTGCCACACCCACAGATGTGTGTAAAATGCTTTGTCTTCATATAAATTGGTCACTAGTGACTAGTTTTCAATTTCCTGCTCTGCTTGGCACATAGAAGATGCTTGGTGAATGTTAATAAACACCACTGGCTTCAGTTTCTCTGCGACTGCAATATCCTGGTCTAGGATGGTTGCTATCTCCTCATCTAATTTGTTGCTGTGATATTGGAAGCAAGATAACCATGCTTGTTTGAACTATGAATAAAGGCAAATATCTTCTGCGTGAGGTCTCGGGAGGTGAATTTGGGGCTTCCCACCCATAAAGGTGTGTCTGGTGTGCACACATATTTGTGTCTTCACGTATATACCTATAAGCTCATAGAATTTTTCTGTAAAGAGTAGGAAATTTGAATGAAAAAGAAATACGATACTAACAGTATTAATAACAATATGATAATTTTAGTGCTTAGAAACAAACAAAAATTACCAGGCAAAGGGACGATTTCTTCACCAACTGAAATTGTAAGTGTAAAGAAGAAAAACTAAGCTTAAGAAATGGGAACCCTCACCTATTTATATTCAAAGCTGAAAAAGAACCAAACGTTTTTCTCATTTTAGACATTAATACTTTTGTTTAAGTTTCCACTATGGTTTGAGTGTAGAAATACTGTACTTAAGTTTTATTTTTTTGGCATCAAAATGTAACAAGTGGTATTGTGTCCTATTTATTCTCCAAAAATAAAATAATTTATTAAGTGGTCAGAAAAGAAGCTTTATACATATACTGAAGTTTTGAAAGGAAGAATACAAAAGCAGTAGATTTTATAGGAAAAAATCTTTACAGCGGCTGAAAATGAAATGAAGAAAATCAAGTTAGAGTCCTCAGAAATATTGTTAGAGAAGAGCAAGATCATATCTGAGAGGTGTAATTCAACATGAAAATGTACAGAGGGAAGCAAGGTAGGAAAGGTAACAATGGACTTTATGATAGAGTATGGTTGTATAAATTACTGTAAAACCAAACTGCTGTAGTCTAGTAACAGGATATGATCATTACCAGGTAATCGTGTCACTTTTGTGGAAATCAGATCTGTGGCTGCCAAAGAAAAAACAAAAAAGAAAATTTCCACTGAAAAGAAAGCATTAAAATTTGACTTCATTGAAATTTTATGCTGTAGACTACAAGTTTATGAAAACAAGCCTGTTCCATATGGTGTATATAATGGACTCCACCCTGCTTATTTGTCATGCAGATTTACACATTCGTGGTAAATTGTGTATGAGAAGTTGGCATTTTGCAAGTCTGATTAACAACAATTCCCATTTTGAGCATCTACAATGTGTCATACAATTTACATCTCTAATCCTTACCACGACTGTGCCAGGTAAGTATTATCACTATTTTAGAGATGAGGAAGTGGAGACTGGGAGGGCTTGTGTAACATGCCCAGGCCATCCACAATTCAAACCTGTGAGGCCCCAAGGCAGACACTCTTTCTACACCACTCTGCCTTTCAGGAGCATAAGATGACGGAGTCACATTCACTCTGGGCTCGATGGGGTGCCTCAAGGATGAGTGGGAAGGAAGGTAATGGTTCAGTGGCCACCACATCTGTCCTCACACTCCAAGAGGCAGGAAGTGATTTCGGTTGTCATGCTTTCATAAAGGAAGAAAAATGTGTGAGTGCCACACAATATGTGTTACCATCAACCAGGGTTACCAAGAAACACTCGCCTCACGTGATGTCAAAAGCCAGCGAGAACTACACGCGAAGGAATCTTCTGCCAAAAATGGAGTCATGGCGGGGCAGGGAAAGAAGGGAGTGAAGAATGAGGGATGGAGGGAGGAGGGGAGATAGGGAGAGAGAGAGGAAGGAAAAAAGGGATGGAGGAAAACAATACCTAAATATAAGTGGAAAGAAAGCCCTAAACTTTGGTTTCACTGAGTTTTACCCCACATATCTTCAAAGTAATCAGGACTCGAAAATTAAGAAAATAAATGAAATAGAAGAAAGCAGCAGGCCTTGTTACCGAAGAGATGGGTTTCAGATGGAGTTGAAGGAATCACACAGATGAATTCATCAGCAAAGCCTGAGAGCAGAAAGGACCTTGGACGGGAGCTGGGAACCCAGCTTTGCCTTGCTCCAGCTCTGTGACTGCTATGGACTGAATTGTGTCCCCTCAAAATTCATATGGTGAAGCCCTAGCCCCCAATGTGGCTGTATTTGGACATGGGGCCTCTAATGAAGAGTTAAAGGTAAATGAGGTCATATGGGAGGGCCCTGATCTGATAGGATTAGTGTCCTTACAACAAGAGACACCAGAGCACTCTCTCTCTCTCTCTCTGCTAGTGTACACACACTGAGGAAAGGCCCTGTGAGCACACAGTGAGAAGGTGGCCATCTCCAAACTAAGGGAAGAGCCCTCATCAGACACTGACCTACTGGCACCTTGATCTTGGACTTCCAGTCTCCAGAACTGTGAGAGAATAAATTTCTATTGTTGAAGCCACACAGTCTGTGGTATTTTGTTATGGCAGCCTTGGCTGACTAAGACAGTCTTAGGCAAGTCTACTCCTTCTCTGGGCCTCGTCTTCCTCAAAAACAAAGGCAGTGGTTTAGTGTCTCACTCCTTGAATGTGGCCCATGACCAGCAGTGTGGTCATCACCTGGGAGCTTGTGAGAAATGCAGAGTTCAGGCTCCACCTGGAACTGCTGAATCAGAATCTGCTTTTTAACAAGCTCTCCAGGCCGTTCACTTGCACATCAATATTTGAGAACTGCTGGTGTAGGTCATCTCTAAGGTATCCTCCAGGGTTGACACTTGATGCTATTTTATCCTGTTTATCCTGTCGCCACATCTGCCTTCACTGTTCAGAATCACAATCATCCATGGGGGAGTGGCCTGGACCTTCCCTGGAGTTGACTCAGGAGGGATGAGCTGGCCTCCCTGACCTGCTCTCCTCTCCTCTCCCCTGACATCTTCTGGGAAAACAGGAAGTATTTACTCTGGGTGTCAAACTCTTGCTGGGCTGGGAATTTCTCAGCGCTGGGAATTAACACTCCAGGACTACTGCAAGGAGCAGAGAGCATACCTGGTGAAGAAGGCTCTTCGCCTGAAGTGAGAGTTGTATCTGCAAACAAAGAAGAACAAAACTCAAATGTCAGCTAAAAGGAAATGGAACGTTGTGGTTTAAACAACTGCATGGTCGAAAACAGAAGAGCGAATGGGTAGAACCAACGCTAGCACAACCCAGTTCTCTAGTGTGTGCACTGGGTGTGCTGGATGAGTCAAAGCATCACCTGAAACACAACACACACTGCCAAGCAGGTCAGGTGTGGGCCCCCAGCCCGCACCTCCTTTGGGCACATCTGATTAAGACCAGCGCTACAAGCAGAAGATGTTCTCTAGTGGAGGGACCATCTCTGTGTCTATGGATGAGTAAAGAGAAAATGAAGCTTAATTTCTGTGCAAAGGGTGCTGGGACTTCTGTTTACATTGGGGTTTATACCGTAGACAAAATATTCAGTACATATGTTCATTTGTCCAACAGAAAGATGGAGAGTTGATCATGTTTAACTTAAGAAATGTGACAGGCAGAAAACATTACCAGAGGGGGTGTCCACTTCTGCTGAGGTTGAAGATACATATGTGGAGGAACGAATGAGAAAATGAGAGAAATGATACACCTATGCGTCTTTCTATTGAGGTTTACCTTGTGTGCAAAATGATTATGAAGTAGATTCATTTTCTAAATAGAATATGACAAGTAAGAAACTGGTCTCATTAATTTAAACAGCACAGTGAGAGAACCTTTACTAGATGGAGAGATCACTTCTGCTGAGCTTGAAGAGGTATCTATAGAAAAAGAGAAGAAACTTCAACACAAGTGCAGAGGACTCCTGGGTTTCTGTTTTTACTGAGGTTGTGTTGGGGACAACATTTTCATGGAATAGCCTAGTCTGATAAATGTAACTCCAAGAAGAGGCACTTAATGGGACAGTAGACAGTGAGACACTGTTTTACCTGGTATGGAGTTCACAGTGGTTGAGACTGAAGCTGCAGACGAACAAAATAACAAGGCAGCAATAAGACAACCATATCAGACACACATGTTTCTATAAGACGCAGGAGACATAAACGTGGCCATCATAGATCAGGGTGACTGGCTTGTCCTGTCTTCCTGCTTTCCCAACTGGGGCTATGGCAGGGTATCTCCAGATCCTCCATTGCTTCCAGGCCACCCCTCCACTCCTTGGGTCTCCACTCCTCTTGCCCACCCTTTACTTCTCCCCTTGGAGGTGGAGATTACCTGGTCAATGGACAACAATCATTGGTCCAAGTTTCCCCACTGTATGGAGCCCATCTAACAAAGATTCTGTAAATGGGGGACACTCTTTCCCCAGCCCTTCCTCATTTATGCAAATGCGTGGGAGGCAGTGACCCAGGAAAGGGTGAGCTTTGCAGACTGGAACTTTCCCTAGGTGGGCTGTCCCAAGATCTAGACTGAGGGTAAGGAGAGGATGGCAAGTCCATTTTTCTCTTGTACTAAGCATTGTCCTCCAACTCAGCTTTATCAGTAATAAAGGCCATATTTTGGTGTTGACTCATATTTTATATCTTGATTGCTTCAGCACCTAGAGTAGGGGACAAGCACCCTCTTTACTATCGTCCCCCCTAAAACAAACCTCCAACACTCTATTTATAATATTCTCAAACCCAAGTAATATCAAGAACTCCTTGGATAATTGCAACCAGCACCACTCAAAATCTATTGTACAAGAGGAGAGTTACTTGTTACCTTGATCAACTCTGCATCCCTTACTGCCTCAGCACAGAGCCTGGCACATGGCCATCCTCACTGAATGCTGGTTGAATGTCTAGGGAGGATCAGTAAAAGCCATAGCTTGACTCCCCACCATTCTGGCAACACCCACACGGTTGTTGGTCTCCAGGAGAAACTCCCTCCATGGATGGTTGACATTAGGCTACCAGTCAGTCCAGTGAATGAATCATTGCTTCTTTTTGGCTGAATTGGCTGAACTAATTTTTCCCTTGGCCCATGCATTTAGCTGGGCTGCCCAGGATTCATTTACCATCAGGAGACCTAGAGGTGGCTTTTGTGAGTCAGGTCACTATAAACATACTTAAAAACTCTAAAGAATCAAAGCATTTGATCAGGACATAGTTGTTTAATGAGCTCATTGAAAAATCAAATAAATTTTATAGCAAGCAAGATGGATGGAACCCAAAATAACATCAAAATTACCTGTTGAAGTGGTTACAGCAATGCTCAAAGATTCTGGAAATAAGAAAAGGCAATTGGTCAAAACCTGCCACAGGGCAAAAATAATTGTCTTATAGTTAACTTGTTTTCTTCTCTCTGTTCCTGGAGCATAGAAACCATAGAAACTTCATTTATTTAATCAAATCTTGATTCACTCATCTCTTCTGTGGCAGGCACTGTGCTAGAAACTGGAGTACAACAGTCAACAAATTAGATATGGTTCCTGCTCTGTAAAACTGCAGTTGTGACAAGTGCAATGGAGGAGGGATGCATGATGCTATGAGAACCTACGACAGGTGGCCCGACCTGGCGAGGGAGATCCTCTCTCTATCTTCCTGACCTCCCACCACCTCCTGCTTGGCACAGGGTCTGGGCCAGACTAGGTGCTCTACTCAAGGACAATGACAACCTCACGCCACACCGTCCCAAAAGCTGTCTAGTCTTGGCCCTGGTGGCATGACAGAGGTGATCTTGCTGCGCCATGTGCCTACATTTGCAGTGGGCAGAGGGCACCACCACGTGAAGGAGTCACTTCTGCCCAAGTGGAAATCATGCCTGAACATGAAACATAAACAGGAAAGTAAGTATTCATTTTTGGATTGTACACAATTCTGCCTTTCCTATGACCTCATCTACTAGGCTTTGTTGTTGGAAAATTCAAGCGTGAGGACTGGTTATTTTCCACCTTCGTGAATAAAAGTTAAAGTACCCAAATTAAAAACATGTGGACGTTATAAATTAAAACATTCCTGAAATGGAACATGTTTCCCTGTCCTTTTAAACAAAAGCTATTGATAATATTTTAACCTCCGTGATTCAGCCTCCTTAAAAAAATCATTGTTGTTCAGGGTTGTAATAGAGAGATGTCTCAAAGGATATTGAGGTTAGTGGGTATTTTTGCTCTATATCACCACATTTAAAAGTCTGGTGACAGCTAATGGGTTTCTGAACCCTTCTGTGGGTGTCAGACTATCTGTTGGCATTTCCTGCCATTGCCAATGTGGCTCTTCTATGAGGTCCCCCTCCCAGTCCCTACACCCCCTCCCCAATTTGTTGTCTCTCATAATACACATTCAGTAGAGAAACCAGATAGCCAATTGTTATGTGTGTGTAGAACGTAAGAACAAGAGGCACGCTGGAACATGCCCATGTATATTCAATGCTTTACTTGGGTTTGAATGTTGGGACCTCAACTTGGCTGCGTACAGGCCCTCCTTGTCTATTGCTGGGTTCTAGCTATTTTCCAAGGGATTAACTCAGCCAAGTGACTCCTGGACAAACAGCAAAATTGTACTATCTAGGTTGAACTTCAACACAGCAATATCCCTTAGATAGGTGCTAAGAGGACAGATCGGCATAAAACTTGTAACCAGTTGTAAGGACCAAGTCTGGCTGAAATTGAGGTAGGAACTGTCAAAACAAGCACAAGTTAAAAAAAATTATAATTAAATACCACCCATGTCAATCAAGTTTGTTGGTAAAGAATTCTTTTAAAATCACTCTATTTACAAATTATGCCCCAGCCATATTCATATTTGATTATTCTCTGTTCCTATTTGATCCCCTATTTTCTGTTTCATTAAGCTAAGGGAAATAAATAATGGGGAAGGTGGTCTATGGATCTGGGACCCAAAAGACACGGGTTCTAGTCTCTGCTCTTTGTGTAACTAAGCACGCGACCTTGGACAAGGCTCTTTGCATCTCTGAGCTTCAGCTGCTGCATCTGAAGGGCTAGTTCATGGACCAGCAGCATCTGCAGCACCTTGTTAGAAATGCAGACTCTCAGGACCCACCCCCGACTTCCTAAATCAGAATCTGCATTTTAACAAGATCTCCAGGTGACTTATACACACATTAAAGTTTGAGAAGCACCAAGCAGCCAAATGGAGATGCCTCCAGGCCCAGAACTAGTTGGCATGAGCCAGGAGGAAACTAGACAGCACATGCCCATATAAAGGGGAGCCCTTCCCCGCTCAACTGTAGACAATTGGTGCCCTGCCAAAATTCATGCTAGTATTTCCCATCCTTTGGATTTTCCATCAAAACTTGAAATCTGGACTTTGATAGGAAAGCTCTCATTTTTAAAATGTAGAATTAAAAAAAAATTAAACATCACCTAGGCAAAACTCTGTTGTCTGAATCAAAACCCATCCATGGGTCAAAACTGGCCCATTGGCTGCCTGTTTGTGGCATCACATCTAGAATAATCTCTAAGGCTTCTTCCAACTGTTGGAAAAATGTTACACTGGATGGTGCCATATCAGACTTGTCCTGGCTTAAGAGACCTGGAGGCTGATTCTCACAGATTCAACCACAAAGAGAGAAATTTATTTCATTGTCTCCTTTTGCTTAGAGGTCAGTTTCTACCAGGCCTAGTGGAGGGCTCAAAGATTTTGGAAATATGGACCATGGGCTACTTTCATCACTGTTTACAGTTCAGAGAAAACTTGAGTTAACTTGACTTGAGTTGAGTTGAGATGGTATTTCTCCAACTTACTTAGCCATCTATTAATCAAGCCCTAGGATGAACTCCAAAGTGTCCAGAAGAGGGAAGTGCACAGAAGGACACATGAGCTGCTTCACTAGAGAGCCAGGCAGGTCTGGGAAGGTGGCAGCACACACATCCCTCAGGAATGTGACTGCCACGCTCCATCACTGCATGCTCACACAATCCCCAGGACAAGCTCTGAGGCGACTCTTTTCATCCTCCTGTTCTACAGATGAAGGAACTGAGGCTCTGAGAAGTAAGGGGACTTGCCTGTTGTCACCCTATTGGTTAAGGCTGGAGGCAGAACATAATCCCAGGTTCTCTAGCTTCAAGTCCTGTGACGCTATATTTTTCACTC